CATTGATAACTAAGTTGGCCGGAGTGTCTAGGGTGAAAGTCTCGAAATCCTAATTACGTTTGCATAACGTAGATAATTGAAGTATTGAAATGTTTTAATATGAGTTGTAGTCTCATTTGAATTGTGGATAATGGAAGTGTTTTAATATGAGTTTTAGTCTTATTTAATTGTTTGGCTAGGTAATGAGCCATGTTTATGAATTTGAATTGGATAAGTAAAAGAAAGTGGAATGAAAACGGACATATTTGTCATGAAACTGGAAAGTGTTGTAAATTGGTTTATAAGTGTTAACCACTTATCGAATGCTAATGTTTTAGTTATTTCTCATATTTGGTTTAGTATATCTCTACTGGGCTTTGGCTCACCCTTTATGGGACATCATTTTCAGGTGCAGGTGATGTGTCACCTCCAAGGACGTAACTTGGGAGGCTTCGAGGCTGAAAGACCCTTTTGTTGTTATTTTTTTTTTTGGTATTACATGTAAATTCAAGCCAATAGCGTAATGTGTTTTGAGTTAGTACTCTCTTTTTGTAACCAAGTGTTGGCTTGGAAAGTTGTAAGCCCGTAGGGCATTTACTTTTGTTGCCAACATGTAATACTTTTGTAATGAATATTCTGATAAATAGATATATGCTTTATTCTCTTATATCTATGGATGTCATGAATGTTGGGTCTATATACATTATTTTGAGGGCGTTACAACTTTGATGATAGTTGCCACCATTAATGAAGCATTCTTTAGTTAGATTAATTCCCTATATATATATATATATATATTTGAACTGTGCAGTAAGACTGTGTGTGATTGCTAGTTTTGGGAGTGGAGTTTGATCCATAGATTTTTAAAAAATTAAAATAGAAATGTAAGCAAAAATATTATTATTAACAACGCTTTCTTCATTTTTTTTTATTACAAATAACTAGAGGTGTAGTCATGTGTGTTTATGGACCTGAGTTTGTCGGTGCATTAATTCTAAGTTGTGCTTATACATGGAGTTTTTGCTATACTTCGCATCGGACAAATATGACATGTATTTGAAATCTTTGATGGTTTTGTTAAATATGTTTTTGATGTGGTGAATTCGTTGTAAACTAAAAAGGTGGATGGTTATTTTGGGCTTGTAATGTGTTCATGTTGACAGGTGGTAGTAATTAGATAGATTAATTACTATTTTGACTTTATATGTTGGTTTTTTGTTTTTAGATTGGATTGTTGATGGATTGATATGTTGAAATTGATTGGATGAACATGAATTATGTATTAATTGTAAATGTATTACAGGTATTCAAAAAAATTAGCATTACATTTAAAAAATTATTTTTTGAAATTAAAAGCTTTTTTGCTACCAATAACATTTTAGTCGCTGCAAGTCATTGAGAAAGGTTCTAGGAATAACTATTGGTGACCACTACTATGGTCGCTAAAACATAGACTTTCAGCGAACAACTTAATTTGTGATTACCAAAAATATCAATTTTTATAACTAGTTTTTTTGTCGCAAATGATCAATCTTTAACAAATTTATTTTGCGACCAAAATATATGGTCGCTAATGGTAAATTTCAGCAACCAACTTCAATTTTGGTCGCTAAAAACCTTATGTGACGGGCTTTTGGCGACTAAATGGCGACCGACTTTTTTTGGTCGCTAAAAACTATTAACGACTAGATATCAACTTTTTGTGACCAAAAAGTTGGTCGCCAAAAGTGTTATTTCTTGTAGTGGATTTATATGATAAGATCGAGTTCTTGGATGTAGATGGTGGGTCGTGGAAGCAGGGTTAGAGGGTGAGATACGAAGGGAATGAGTACGATTTGGAGAAATTGAAGGTTTTTCTGGTCCCTCATTCGCATAATGATTCGAGATGGAAGCTCACTATTGAAGAGTATTATGATCGTCAGTCAAGGCATATTCTTGATACCATCATCGGAACACTTTCGAAGGTGATCTGGGTTTGAAATGTTGTTTATGGATCTGAATTTAGTTGGGTTCTGTTTGTGAACTGAGTTTAATTAGTTAGCAGTTGTTGATTAATCTTAATTTTGTTAGGATTTCCCGTCATGCCGTACATGTAGTCGCCGTTCATTTCTTCCATGGCTCTCTCTCTCTGGTTTCTCTCTCTACATTGTGTGTGATAAGAGAGAAGCGGAGCTGCTAATATTCTTCAGCTCTCTTTCTCTATTTTCGACTAGTGCTTGTGTTTGGTGCTACAATGGAGGAAGATCTCTTCTCTCTTACTCTATTTTGAAATGTGTAGCCTTATGGTTTCCATCAAAAATTTGAACAGATCCGTACATCAGGAACACAAAAATTTGAACAAATCAGTCTAAGAGATAAAAATAAAAAAATAAATAAAAATAAAAGCTTGAAATTTTGACAAATAGATACAAATTTGAACATATAGTTAGAAAGAAAAAAAAAACTTAACAGATAAAAAAAATTGGACATAAAATTTTGAATAGAAAAAAATTCAACAAATAGGTGTAAAAATTGAACAGATAGTCAAAATTTTGAACAAATAGTTAAAAAAATTTAAACGGAAAGGAAAAAATTTGAATAGATAGTCAACAGATAACTTAAGGGGTAAAATAGGAAACAAAATATCCTTCAAAACAAATAAAAAAAACTTCTTACCAAAATAAAGGGTGGACCTCCCACCAATAAAAAATATCCACTTAACCTAATGCATTATACTCTCCTTAGATTAGATTTATAACCAATTTACTCTTTATTTAATGGATAAATTACAAATATAACCCCAAAAGTTTGCTTAAAAAATAGATTGACCCCTCTGATTTGAAAAATTACAAATATATCTCTTAAGGTTTGCTTAAAGTACACATTGATAGTTACGTGACATAAAAATATTTTATTATATCGCACTTCTGAGATAAACTTAAATTTTAATATAATAATATAATTTTTTTTAATCTTATGTGACAGTTATTGTGGCATTTTTAATATAATATTGAACAGAAGTTAGTTTTAAAAATAAAGTGGGAAAAACTTAAAATATGAAGGGCTAAAGTAAGTAAAAACAAACTTCAAAGGTTAAAGTGAGAAAGTGACCAAACATAAAGGAAGCAAAGTGTAATTTACCCTTGTATATTTTGAAAATAGTTTTATAGTTTCGCAATTGGAGTTTTGTGATTTAGAATGATGTGTAATTTTTTTATTTCTTTATATAATTGAATAGATAGATGTATGAGAAAATGTGATTGATTGGGCCAGTTTTGTCCTAACAATGATCAAGAAGTTGATGTCTAAATTAACAGAAAAAGCTCTAAGGAGGAGATGAAAACTGAAATGAAGATCAGACCATACCAACCCCATTTCTCTTTTGTCCTGCTTTTGATGTTTTCCTCCACCTCTCTTCAGCTAAAAAGAGCAACTCAATGACCTTTAGGGGCTACAATTCCACCATTGACGAATGCTTAGCAGATGATTGAGAAGAAGAAGAAGAGTTCTTGATGGAATTAGGGACGACTAGAAGGTTTCTTGTTTATAACCAACAACAAATTTTGTACAAGGGTCTACAGAAGCCTATGGTATGTAATACAAAGCTATACGACGATTGTATTGGGCGCGCCAATAAGGATAGTCGGCCTTGTACCACCTACAATCGATGCAAACACAGTCCCAGATGAATTCATGAAGTCAAAATCACATGATTCATGGAACGTCATGAGTTAATTTTATGACTATTTTAGCTTAATTAAAAAATTTGTGTTTGGGATGATAGTTGACTTTTTTGTAGTTGATTTGATGGTTGTGAAAGAAAAAATGATATGATTATGATTTAAATGTGACATTTTGTCTTATTAACTGTTTTAACTTATTTTCTTTTTATTGACTATTTTAGCCTCCAACTCTCTTCCCAAACTTGGTTGGTGCACACAAAAGCGTGAGATTGTGGGAATCTAGGAACCCATAAGTATATTTCACAATATAATCAACATGTTAATTTCTTTAACAAACTGATCAAATGATTGACATACGTGATCATTAAATTTGGCAAAAATTTAGAATGTTGTTGAAACAAAGTCTTTACAATGAGTAGCATCGACAACTAAAAAAAATATCACATTACAATATTGAGAAGTACATGGTTGGGTTAACTAGAATTAAATGGTGTCCACCTGATATTTGTTTGTGACTTTCTTTTCATTATGTTGCACTAGATATTTATTTCCAATTAAGTGAGTTATTTGTCAACGAAAGTGAACTAGCTTTGCATTATATTTAGTGGGATTTGGCACTTAATAGAATGCACGGGCATATTCTTTCAAGCTTCATCAATACCAGAGCACGAAACTATCATGGTTGATTGTTCTGATGTAGAATAATCAGACATGGATTTTGCAATAATTCCAAGAACACATGATTAAAACATAAAATTGCTCACAGAAAATGAAAACCCTAGATTCAATTCTCAAAGCTAACAATTCCAAGAAATTTCACATATGAAGCCAATTTTTTGACTTAAAAATATCTATTACATGACCTAAAAGGTCCCCTCGTGGAGCTCCAATTTTGACCATCATTAAGCAATCCAGCTCTCACTCTCTTGTGCCCCGTTTGTTTTCAAAAGTAAAATGGAAGGGATTCATAGTGAGAGGATTAATAGTGAAAGGATTGTTAGTGAGGGGATTGATAGTGAAGGGATTAAATAAAATTGTGTTTATTTTAATGATAGTTGTTACTGTGAGAATTGTTAAATTATTTTTATATAAAATAATAAAACAAATAAAAAAATACAAAAAAATAAACATTAATGTTAAAAAAAAAATGCCCAACATGTAAAAAATAAAAAAAAAATCTAGTCCTCTCACTATTTTTCTAATACCACTTCCACATCTTCCATCTTAATCCCCCTTCCAACCTCCATCTTAATCTCTTCCTCCATCCTAATCATTTCCCAAACTCTACAAACAAACACACAACATTAAGTGAACCTACCTTTATCCTAATCCCATCGCACCATTTACCTCCAACCCAAAACAAACGGGTCCTTGGAGTCAATTACAAGTCTTCTCTTAGCCACCACCCAACTTAAATTGAAAAAACTCATCACCTTAAGTTAGCTTCCAGTTTGGACTTGACAATACATCAAACACTTTAATCTTCAACACCCCCAACATGTTCACCATCGCTCTCTACCTCTATTCCTTACTCCACCTCCTCTCCTCCACCGCGGCCACAACACCGCCTTACACACCCACCGATTACTTCCTCCTCAACTGCGGCTCATCCTCCAGCGCCGTGTCACTAGACGGCCGGAGCTGGGACAGTGATGCCAACTCAAAATTCTCACCGTCCAACATCGGCACCACCTCATCACCATCCACGGCCACCCAACTGGATCCTTCTGTCACCGAAATCCCTTTCCTCACCGCCCGCATCTTCACCTCCAATTTCACCTACACTTTCCCCGTCTCCTCCGGCCCCAAATTCATCCGCCTCTACTTCTACCCAGCCAACTACACCAACTCAATTCTCGACAGATCAAAATATTACTTTTCCGTCACCGCCGCAAACTACACCCTCCTAAGCAACTTCAGTGCCTTCCTCACCGTCTCTGCTTTGGTTCCCCAACAATCCTCTCTTGTCAAAGAGTACATTCTCAATGTCAGAGACATCCAAAAGCTCGACATAACATTCAACCCATCTCCCAACTCATACGCCTTTATCAACGGCATCGAAGTCGTTTCGATTCCCAACAATTTCTACATCAAAGGCGATCGTATCCCTTTTCTTGGCATTCAACAACCTGTCTACATTCAACAATCTGCCTATTTCGATAACAACACTGCTCTTGAAACTCTGTACCGGTTAAACGTTGGTGGCAACGACGTGTCTGTGAATGACGATACCGGCATGTACCGGACGTGGCATCAAGATGAGCCGTACATATACGGCGCCGCCATTGGTTCGGTGCCTCACCTTGAGGTCCCAATTCGATACACTAACGAGACACCGAATTACACTGCTCCGGCGACTGTGTACACTACGGCTCGGACCATGGGACAGGACCCAAATATAAACTTGCGGTACAATTTGACTTGGATCTTCACCGTTGATTCTGGGTTCTGGTACCTGGCTAGGCTTCATTTTTGCGAGTTTCAACCGGAGGTAACCAAAGAAAATGAGAGGATATTTTCGGTGTATATGAATAATCAGACGGCTGATCAAGAGGTTGATGTTATACGCTTGAGTGGGGGTAAGGGAATTCCTGTTTTCAAAGACTACGTTCTTTCTGTCCCACCCGTCGATGGTCTCCAGACTAAGGTGGATTTGTGGCTCGCGATGCACCCGAATGTGAACTCCAAGCCCGCGTACGCTGATGCAATCTTGAACGGTTTAGAGATCTTCAAATTGAATCAATCGAACGGAAGTCTTGCCGGGCCCAATCCTGAATACGTTCCTGTACCGGGCAAACAGAATAGTAAAACGTTGTTGGTCTTCGCCCTCGCTGGAGGTGTAATCGGCGGAGTATTCTTAATTTCAGTGATTGGTTTCTTGATTTTCCGGCATCGGAGGAGGGTGAGAGACTCCGGTGCAAGCGTGGTCAAGTCATCATGGGTCCAATTTTCGATTTCGCACACGTCAAACTCCACGAAGACTAACGCTTCATCATTACCGTCTGAAGGATTGTGTCGTCGCTTCTCACTTGCTGAGATTCAATCCATGACCAACAACTTCGATGATGAATTGGTCATTGGAAGTGGTGGATTTGGTAAGGTCTACAAAGGACTCATCGATGGTGAGGAAACCACTGTTGCTATAAAGCGGTTGAATTCAATGTCTAAGCAAGGTGCACATGAATTTTGGACAGAGATCGAGATGCTTTCCAAGCTTCGACACAATAATCTTGTCAGTCTTATAGGCTATTGTGAAGAAGGCGATGAGATGATCCTTGTTTATGAGTATATAGAGAATGGTACCCTTGCTAATCATCTCTACAAAATTAATACCAGTGGAAATATTTGTCACATATCATGGAAGCAAAGGCTCAACATTTGCATTGGTGTTGCACGTGGATTGGATTACCTTCACACGAGTACTCAGCAAGGTGTCATACACCGAGATATGAAAACCACAAATATTCTGTTGGACAAGGCTTGGGTAGCTAAGATTTCAGATTTTGGTTTGTGCAAAATGGGCATCACAAGCGATTTTGGCACCCACGTTAGCACAGACATTAAAGGCACATTTGGTTATTTAGATCCAGAGTATTTCATGACTCGTCGGCTAACCAAGAAATCAGATGTGTATGCCTTCGGTGTTGTGTTGTTCGAAGTGCTTTGTGGGAGGCCGGCAGTCGATATGAGGCTTGAGGAAGAACAATGCAGTCTAGCCCTATGGGCTCAACATTGTATCAAAAAGAAGAAACTTGGTCAGATCATTGACCCTAGCATGAGGGACCAAATCTCGCCACATTGCCTGAAGGTGTTCGCAAAAATTGCTAACAAATGCTTAAATAGTAATCCAAATGGACGTCCTACAATGGCTGATGTAGTGGTGAGCCTGGAGTGCGCTTTGGCGGCACAGGATCAACAGGGATATACAAGTAGATGTTGATCTGCCACAAGTATCATCCCCTCGTATGCATTGCTGGCTCAAGATCAGTGCAAGAATATACAAGCAGATGATGATCTGCCACAAGGTACCGTGCACTCATCCGCATTGATGGCACAAGAGCACTGTAGGGTTATACAAGCAGATGATGCTCTGCCACAAGGTATAGTCCCCTCTCCCTCCACTCTTGTGCAATACTGTGAGAATTAGGTTTGTTCATGGATCGATCCAGGTCAGGTTAGCATGCCAATCGAACCAAAAACATCGAGTTCATTTTTTGTTGGACCAATTTCACCCGCATGCTTCTTCGAAATCACATTTCCGCTAAACTGATTTCGGCGGTCAGCTTCAATTAGCTCTGGTAACCGCCTCCCTTTGCCACTTCACCGCCTCTGCAAAGCGAGATAGTGGAGATGAAAGGTTCCCCATTACTAAGAAGGTGATCTTTGTCATCATTTTTGTCACGACCTAACCTCTAGTACCCAGGGGCTGGATGTCGCAACTAATCGATTCCTAAGTTACCAAGTATTTATTCTAAATTAAACAAGTCAATAATGTAGCAGAGTAAAATAAAAGATGTACATAAATATTTATTTCATTTAAAATATACATACGGTTTTTCGGTTTTTAAATCATAAAAATTGAAAGGATCGGTTCGGTGCTAAATATATTCTTAACACCGACTGAATCGAACTCTGTGTACCCCTACTCTTGGTTCTTCCTGATTGAATTTTTTTTTGGTTTTGTTTTGTGATCGTAATGGTGTGTGTATGTCTTTAAATAACAGTATAATTAAATGTCATAATCATCCTTATTATCATCCCCCGTTGTATCATTTATTTGATTAAGAAACATATATGTGAATATTCTACATCTTTGTTAGTTGTGTATCCGATAATCAAACTGAACCTACTTTCTTTTCGTTGATCTTGGAAATTCGAATGCTTCTATTAGCAATGTGTTTTAGCAATAAATATAGTAGTAAAATTATAAAGTTATGTTTATCATATTAATTTAATTTTTTTTAAATAATTAACGTATGAAATTTAATAAAATAAATAATTAAAATCATTAAAAAGAGTCTTGTAATGAATCCCACAACACCCAGCAACACCATTAATTAGAGACAAACCTGTGCCTCAGTATATTATGTGAGGAATAATTCCTTTTGCTAGTAATTTATGCATGTTTCTATGGCAAACCATGTGAACAATGGATCCGGGTTAGGCAATAATTAAATTATTGCATGAATTTTATGGGACAATATTCACATGCTACTCTTAATTAATGACATAATAAACAAAATATTAATGTATTATCCTATCTTAGCTATGTAAGAGATACAAAACTACTCTAAATTTTTTTGGGAGAAATTACAAATAAAACTTTAAAGATTTTAGATTTATAACAAAATAAATTTTTAATTTTTAATTTTATCAATTTAAACATTTATATTTAGATTTATTTTCAATTTTTTAACTATTACACTCAATATAGGTATATGAAAAGTGTCAAAAATATCCGATTTTATTGAGTTTAATAATTGAAATATATTTTTTTTGATAATTTTACTTAACAAAAGTAAGTGATTAGATTGCAAAAAATCAAAAGGCAAATTTAAATTAACAAAGGCGCTGCTTGGGAAGTTGGGTTTTGGGTTTTTTTTTGCTTTTTATTTTCACTAAAAGACAAATTGATTACAAAACCAAAAAAAATAAATCCAAACAAAATATCACATCAAACTCCATAATCATTTCATTTTTTCTCTCACAAACATCACATCGAACCACAAAAAAACTCAACTATCTTCTCAAACACAAAATTTTTTTTTCTAATAATGGCCTATTTTAGGAAGTGGGTTATAATCCACTTTCCAGATTATAACTCACTTCCTCTCTCACAAAAAAGCTGCTTATAAGCAGCTTTTCACCAAAAACTGATTATGACCATCTTTCCAAAATAGCCCAATATCTTACAACTAAAAAAATTTACAAAAAAATTCACTTTCCAAACACCCACAAAGTTAGGAGCGCATGATTAATCTTGTTAAAAAACTCAAATTTTAAGAATTTTTTTATAATTTTTTATTAATAAATAATACCAGCTTATTTACCCAAAATTTATTAGACTACACTACCCCCATTTTGGAGTTCGAATCCTTTCCAGCCATTCTCTATTGCCCTTCCTCCGGGGGATGGGCCAGATTTGGCCACGTCACCCCACAATAAATCTGGGGCTCAGATTAATTCAATAAAATAAAATAAAATCATGCTGACACCTTTGTCTCATGCGTCCCATCAGTACACATTGTCTCTCTCTCTCTCTCTCTTAATAAAAAATTAAAAAAATTTTATTTTAATCTT